TATATATACTTTTAGTCTTAATATTAAGTGGTGAGAAATATTCAAATCATTTGCAAAGGTCGTATCACCAATTCCTTCTGGTACTGACACAAGAAGAAGTTTGTAGCAGTACCAAAAGGAATCGATGATACGACATTTGCAAATGATTTGAATGTATTTTTTAATAGGTTTAACAATAATTATGATTTTGAAAGTAATCTGAATATTTTAATCAATGACACAAAGAATATTGACAAGCAAGAGGTCAGTGTAGATAATATTTAGAGAACTTGCTCCAGTTTTTTCTGACCTGTTCAACTGGTCGCTAAACTCTTTCACCGTACCCAGTATTTGGAAAACCTCAGTTACTGTATTACTCCTCTGAATAAAGTAACTAAACTGTGGCCCTGACTCAGATTGTAGTAAAATGCTTTGAGAAAATAATTAAAGGTATGTTTAGTAAATGAAGCTCAAATGTTCTCGGATCCGCATCCAGAAAATGCAATTTTAATTCTTCTATGATCATTATTAAGCACCAAAATACAAATATTTAATGAAATACTTTAATGAATTATTCGATATTCTGACAAAACGTTTACAGGTTTTACCTAAACCATAGCGCTCGCCTATCCTGGCTCAATGCAATGTGTCTATGGAAAACTGACCATTCGCACCCTCCTTTCATACGGTAATTTGTAAAATGACAGACCCCTTTTTCAACTAATCAAAATAAAACTTACATCAAAAGAGGCTATGAATAATAATGTTTCTTTCTAGCAAGTGTACTAGAAGCTTTTCTAATGGTGAATGCTCAACAAAGCGATTCAAAGACAACAGAACCCTCTAAAAATCGAGAAAAATGGCCTTTTACACGGGCTCCGGTCATTGTAGTTGCTTACGAAAAATACAAAAAGACAGGGACTTTTTTAAGATTTTGAAATTCAAATAAACAAAACAAGTTGCCTAAATAACTGAACTATAACATATCAAAAGTACAGAATTATCTGACAACAGGTAGCAGAGAACGGACGATGTAAACACAAAAATTGGCCATTTAACCCGAAAAATACCAGCCCGCGGACAGCGTGCCTCCCGCTGTGCCAGTAGCTTGGTCGAAAATGTTGATCTTAAGATCCATGAATCAGTGACGTGTTACAAATCCTTGCTAGAAATAATTGGGATGTATATTATAGGCCTGGCGTTGATAGAATTCAGGACGACAACAAATTGAAAAATGCAAAAACAGATATAAAAAGATAATAGACGCCTATAAAATAACAATTATTTTACATTTTGGCTCACCCGTAACTACAGAGCGGAGGCCTCTGTACGATTTGTTTCGTCTCTGCTAACTAGCTCAACACTGCAAAGCGTTCAGGGGTATCATTGAGCTATATCTGTGTACAGTACCTACCACAATATATTAGGTGCCTATAGTTAATCGATCAACCATGAACAAAAAAGACACACGCACACATATTATTTAAACTTAACAATTTTGGTAATTCGGCAGAAAGTTCATACATCAAAATTCAAAACGAGGTCGTCTGTCTATTTTAGTTTCGATCCAAAAGGCTATTAACAAAAATTCAATTTTGGGCTATCCCAACTATTAAATTCTCTCCCAACAAAATCCCAGCACATAGGCCTATTTTTCCGGTACCCTGCTCGCAGAAAAAGACTGGCGGGTAGGGGAGATTATTCAGGGGGTGGATTGAGATTATTAGGGGAGATGTTATTCAGAGGAGGGTGCACACCCAAAAATACACCATTGGAGAGAGGCTATGCGCCTCCTTAGCTCAGACCCCTCCTCTGTCAGACTTGTTTTAATTATATATTATTGCATCCATACTAACACAAAGAGGCCTTCAGAGAAGGCTCTATTCTGCTGTATACTCTTTGCTTGTATCATGGACCTATTAATATAATAGGTCCATGCTTGTATGAAATAAATCTCTGGCGCGGTGGTAATAAAACTAGTGTGGTCTTTCCGCTCGCTCTCGGCCAATCAAAAGTTTCAAATGAAACTTGTAATACTATTCATTATTATTATTATCATACGGATTTTTTTTTTTTTTTTTTAAGGGAACGAATGATTGGGTAATGTGGTTTTTTTTTTTTTTTTTTTTTTAAACTTCGATTTCGGGATTGGAAAAGGGAAGGGAAGGGTAACTAAGACTTTGATTTTTACTTTTTGTTAAGCTCATTTACTTTTACTTTTGATTTGTCATGTTTTGATTTTGTTTGTTTTCTTATATTTTTCTTGGACGCACCGTTTTGTATGTGTGCCACTGTTGTAAAAGTGTAGCTTCCAAATAAAGAATAAAGAATATGGTCTTTAAAAAAAGAAGGAATGCATGTATTCTAAGAAATCTCTAAAGTGCTGCCCTAGGCTATAATTTCTCAGATTTTTTGTTGTCTGTTTCACTATTATAAATGCTTTCTATCCGTTTCTCTTATTCAATTTATATGTCTTTTTTAGTTGGTTGATTGAGAGTTAATCAAACCCAACAATCCACTAATTGGATTATGCGATTCAATGCAGAGGGCCATGAAAGAAGAGCATGTTGCACAATCCATATTCATTAATGCACAGCTCTGCACAATGTTGTTTTGTGGTATCATAGCAACAAATATCCAATAGGTGGGCTTAGTGGAAAGGGCAATTAGCAGCGAGATACTAAATAATTATTTGTCAACTTCATTGTTTATTATTAGATTTGGCTACCCAGATGATTCTTATCTACAACGTGTGAGGGAGGAGCTGGCTGCCAAAGGCATATGCTGAGTTCTATAAAATATGATTACTGTAACATATGTACAAGTAATATTGATGTTATGATAGTGTAAAACATAATATTTTTTTTTTAATCAATAAGATCTTTTGGAAAATTGATATCGATATAAGGTCATTCTTATTCGTTTATATTTTATTGGCGGGGAGGGGAGATTATTCCTGCCTGTAAACTAGAATGAAGTACATATGTAGGCCTACATATTATAACATAGCTTTGTGTTAATATGTATTTACCTGCAATTGCCACCAAAGATAATCTATTTTCCAACAAATTTCGTACCACGGTTATCAAAAATCAACGGTTAGAAAAGCTGGCAAATGCAATGCATAGCATTTCTTGACTCGATACTTTATAAAAATTTTTGTGAAGTAAAAAGATAAAAGTGGGCTTTCTGAAGTGGAGTGCTTTCGCACCCACTGCACTCCCCTGTCTGAGCTCCATTCCACTCAGCAATACCTCTTAGAAGTGGTTTGGCGCAGCGGGAACGGTTTGGTTTTCCAGCCTTGAGGTCAGGGTGTCAATCCCTCGCTGTGCATTTGGTTTGTGTACTTTATCTACATTTCTTTTCTTCACCCATGAGTATAAATGGGTACCTGGTGGAGTCGCCTGCTCCTGCGCTAATTACAGCAGCAACAAGCATGTAGACCCAATGACCGATGCCAAAAGCGCTTCGTATCAGCAAAGAAAGGCGCTATATAAATAACTGAATATTATATTATTATTATTATTATTATTATTATTATTATTATTATTATTATTATTATTATTATTATTATTATTATTATTATTACCACTTTAATAAGCAGCAAATACCTCTCCCCTTTGTTCAGTCAACCATATCCCTGGCCATTTTATCAACTATTCAAAATAATGAAGGCAGACAACAAATGAGTCGTTCAAGTGTACCACTGTTTTGTATTATTTGTATACACTACTTTGCATGTTTTATTTTGTACAGTAGCACTAATCAATAGGATATATGCAGGTCAAATCGTGCCATTCTGAGCACAATACACATTCAGGGATACTGTAGTTAGTAGTATCAGGTTACTGTAGTCAGTAGTATCAGGAAACTATTGTAAAACGAAAGCAATTCTATAATATGCAGCATCATCCTAAGAAATGACCAATAATGTTGGCATACATACATACTACAGACACACACCGACACACACACACACACACACACACACACCGAAAACCGATACATTAGAACAGTAGAACATGCTTGGGCTCTACTACACTGACTAATGGAGAAAGACAAGAGCTAGGTCTAGGAAACACTCTTGAACCATTTTTAAAACCGTTAAATTGTACGTTAACATACAGCACCTAGTCGACAACATACCGGTAATTATTTATGATGACTCACTCATCTAGATCAGAACTGTGTGTACACTCACTGTGATGAATAGTTCTAATATAAAAATAAACGAATAATAATATGCAAATTGAAGCGCCATAGCATAAATAATCAGTCAATATGTTTACTAAAATTATCAATAGCAACTTATTACATAGTTTGCTTTATACATTGGAATGGCCAGGGAAATTGGAATGTTACTTACTTGTCATCAAGCACTACAACTAGCAATTGGTAACTCTTCCGTCATCGATCGCTTAAATTCGATGTGAAGCAATGGAATATTGTACCACTAAATATGCGGCTGTATCATGGAGTTATTATTGAAAAGGATCACTCGATAAAAACATTAATTCATGCGTCCAGACCATTTAATTGTTTTCTTCCTTTCTGATTCTGAACGCTTGAACGCACACCTGAGGGTGCAAGCTTTAAACCTTATTGTGTTGATGTAATCTCTCACTTTTAGTGTTGGAAATGTTGAAGTCGTACGGGATGAAACATGTACCTGGCGATTCTCTTTGAGGCATGTACATTATGAAATGTACTTGCTATTATTTATGATTGCTATTTGAATATAAGTACAAAAAAGTACAAAAAGAAAATGGTCAATTAGCGTCTATATATTATATATTATATATATATATAAGAATTGCTCAGTTAATTATCTGCTTCTACTCCATGATTAGGCCTATATAAGTATCAATTCAATTTAATCATCGAATGACAGGTCGATTCGGAGAGTGGACACACAGGTTTTTATTTGGACGTTTAATAATGTTTTTATTTGATTACCATTGTATTGCTCATATGGCTGGGGCATATCCCCAGTTTCTATAGCGTAAAGCGAACGACAGCGTAATAATCGCCCTGGATGGGAAGCTAGTCCACCGCAGGTTACTCCCAAAAGTTTGCTGGTACCCATTCATATAACTGCTTAGACTGAATCATTGCATTACTCAATGTTCAATACATTGTAAAAAATTTATATATATATATATATATAAATATATATATAATACTTTATACCGTTTATTTTATTTGGTTTTGAAAAAAAATAATAGTAGCTAGGCCTATAGAAAGTAAAACATTCAAGTATTTAATTGTACTTACAGCTCATCACAGATGGCATTACCTTCAATTTCAGGTATTTTTGGCTTTTCCTGTGTCCAAACTATTGATTTGTTGTGATTGTTTGGCAATTTGATGACTTTCCGTATAATAAACGGGTAATTAAATTATTTTTTTTAACGCAATTTTCGTTTTCGAAAATTGTTTCAAATTAGCTACAGCCAGAACAATACTTCTGTGAAATGCATGAACATTTTTTTGAACTCGAAGATGCACAAACCGCTGCAGTGTGGCGTCCTATTATTAGCCATGTTCAGTTAGAAACCTACACATCAACGTGTCGAATATTTTTTAAAACTTAACTTTTGTTTTATATAGGCCTATATGATTTTGCTTTTACTTTCTAATTTCAATATCAATCTCATGATGTAAATGATGAAAAGCCCTATTCTGATTTAACAACAGACATAGTTTATTTTTCTTTTTGTTCCATTTAGAGAATAGGCCTATTGTCGCAACCTCGGAGCATGACGAAAACACAAAATCCACAAATGTACTAAATTGAATGTGCTATACACTAGCTTCTGCAATTTGATGCTACTTGGATATTGATATTGGTGAGACCTCCTCTGTAACAAAGTGAGTGGAAGGGGTTGTAGTGCTTATTCACAATCCGGAGTCTTTTAGGCTCTGTCCTAAATATTAAATTTTATTCTTTGACATTTTGACAAACAGGTGTCTTATGCCCATAATATGAGTCATAATGTGCCTTTTTCGTCATGATGTGATGTCATCATGACCATTAGGTATGTCACCTGTTTTTGTCAAACCAAACTCGATAGTCCGATTAGGGCTTCAGTAGTTTTAAGAACTATGTCAATCTATTTACTGTATGTTCAAATGTATAGGCGAATTAGTATTAGAAGTCATATTTAGCTTATCTGTCATGCAGAAGAACATGGCAACATTTTGCTAATTTCCTATTACAAATCAGTCAGAGAAAATGGATTTTCCCGCTAACGCTCGCTTCTTGAATACTGTATTGTTGCTGAGGTCCCGCAAAATGACGGTGTTAAAACATACAAGAACAGTGCTTTTGTGGGACAATACGTGTGCTTGTTGGACACGCATGTATTCCTGGTACTGTTCTGGTTGGTCAGTTGTTAAGTTTGATTGACACTCCGAAAAGGTCCATTACAGAAGCACTGCATTTGTGCCTCTATTCC